ATATATCATGAGCTAAATTCTTAATATAACTACATGATATAATCGGTTACCTTTGCCACTTTTCTCAACTTGCTCGACTCACCTTCTTGACCAAGACCACAATTGAGTTCTCTGCACAATGCATCTCGCCCGATATTTCAGCGATTCTTCGCTCGGCAAACATGTCCGAAGCATTCGAAACTCGCCACGAGAGGTTATCTATAACCGCCAACTCCTCATCTCCTCGGCTCTTTATGCCATGTCCGGCTTGTGCATCAGTTCGTTCCCTTCATTATCATCAGACCATTTCTAACCTGTTGCAGCGTGGGATCAAGGCTCCAGTTCCGTCGTCCCGTCTCTCCCAGGCTTCTCGAAGGCTTTCGGTATTACCTCTGCTGCGAATCCTAGCGAGGTCGCCAACTTTATATCATTCGTCTACCTGACGGCGGGCGTTGGATCCGCCCTGTCGTTCTTCATCAACGATCGAATCGGACGCCTCTGGTCACTGCGACTCTACTTTGCTATTTGGATTATCGGTCAGCTTATTGCAACATTCTCTTATGGAAACAAGGGTGCTCTCTACACTGCTCGCTTCGTGTCTGGACTTGGCATCGGTCCTTTGACTGTCACGGGCCCCATGTCGATTGTTGAGATCGCGCCGACCGAGATTCGTGGCCTCCTGACCGTATGGTTTAGCGTTGTTATGCTTCTGAGCTTAACTATCAGTACCTTGACCGTCTATGCTTGTTTCCTCCACCTCCCCGCCTCTCATCTCCAATACCAATTGGTATGGTTCCTTCCTACCATCATCTGCGGCATCATTATTGCTGCAAGCTTCTTCGCATGCGAGTCTCCGCGATGGCTTATGTTGGTTGGCCGCAAGGAAGAAGCTATCGAGACCTTAGTTGCTCTACGAGGTCTACCAGCTGATCACCCCCGCGTCGCTGGAGAAATCGCAGACATTGAGCTCCAGATCCAAGCTGAAAAGTCGCGATATGCTTCAGGCGGCGGTCTGAGAGATATCCTGAGAGAGACCTTTATGGTACCTGGAAACCTTCGAAGAGTCCAGCAATCCTTGATCTCATACCTTTTGGCTCAGCTCTCTGGTGCGAACTCTGTTACCAGCTACCTGGTGCCGATTCTCTCATTGATGGGAATAAACAGCGCTCACGGGAACAACCTATTCCTGTCGAGTATGTACTCCCTATCTAAGTTCTTTTACACGCTCATTGCCTCCTTCTTTTTCATTGATGCTCTGGGACGCCGAAAGTCTCTCTTCATCGGAATTACCATTCAGCTGATTTCTGATGTCTACCTCGGAGCCTATATCAAGAGTCACCAGGATGGTTCTGTTGCTCCAGGTGCTTCCACCGCCGCGATCGCAGCTATATTTATTCATGGGTTCGGCTACGCTGTTGGTAAGTCCTTGTTTAGTTCCCCCGATACTTAATGTCTCTAATAGTCATCAATCAAGGCCTCCTAGTTCTTCCGTACGTCTTCGGGGCGGAGCTCTGGCCGAACAGCATTCGATCATTCGGCTCAGCACTAAGCCAGGCCTTTCACTGGCTGTTCTATTTTGGCATCAATCGGGCAACCCCTTCTATTCTCTCCAGCATGCACAACTGGGGAGCCTTTATCTTCTTTGCAGGGTGGTGTCTCGTGTCACTTATCTACGTATTCTTCGCTGTCCCTGAGACTGCAGGATTACCCCTCGAGCACCTAGATGCTCTGTTTGAGTGCCCTTGGTGGCAGATCAGATCAAAGGCCAAGACGCTCCACGTAACTACAATTTCAGGTTCTGTCGTTGATGAGGAGAAGTAAGTGCTATATTATTAGCATAAGTGTTAAGGCAATTTAGCTTACAACATTAAGCAGTAGCCCAGAGAGCCTTGATTCCAAGCACGATAGAATTGCGACAACAAGCAAGCAGACTGATTCTTGAGAATCAGCAGGATGCTATAACTCCCACTTCATATATGTAGCACATAAGGTCGGAGTCGCGAACCAGGGATTGGAACGGAAATATTAGATAGGTGTAGCTTTGGTAAATGCAACTGAATCCCCTACTTTCCTAGGTAGTAGTTATTCAATAATTCACAGACCTATCGGTTCTTCCACGGCCGTGATTGAACTGTGGCAGATGCATCGGTCGAACCATCTAGAGCCATACCTGGATGACTTCTACGCGATCATCCACGGTTTTGTTGCGTCATGACACGTGTTGAAATCCGGGTATCGAATTAGCCAATTTCTAATCATAGGTGAGATTACGGTATGTTAGTGCTTTCATAAACTTCTATCAAAAAGAATTATTCACCATCACCAAATCAACCCAAATAAGCACTATTTAGGTTATTATCAACGAGAAATTGTACCAACCACAATAATCTTAGGCCTTGTCAATTTGTATTACTGACTCTATGGAGCAATTAAATTGAGTCGCGACAATCAATGTCGATACAGTTCTTGTGTATTCCGCTCAGTTACATCTTAGCACTTACGCGGTTCGCGTTGACAGGGCTGTTGGCCTTGCCAGTCTTGAAAAACGCTCTGATATTCTCAAAACATTCCCTCTCGGCCTTTTGAAACGCAACATCCGTCAAACCGCCGAGGTGCGGTTGAACAATAACGTTGTCCTGCTCCAAAAACCAGGGATCGACGTTTGGCTCATTCGCCAGCACATCAAGACCCGCCCTTGCAATCTTGCCCGATTTCAGTGCCGCCTTAAGAGCGGCTTCGTTGACAATAGCTCCTCGAGCCGTGTTCACAAAAAAGCTCCCATCTTTCATGGCATCAAATTCTGCTGGACCGATCAAGCCAGTGGTCTTTTCATTCAGCGGGCAGTTGAGGGACACGATATCAGACTGAGATAATAGTTCGTGGAGGGAAGAGCAGTAGGTCGCATTGTACTCTTGTTCCACCTCGTGGGGTAGTTGGCGACGGTTGTAGTATTTAATCTTGATGTTGAAAACCACGGCCTTTTTTGCGAGATACTTTAATCCTCAGTTAGCTAACGAGTGCCAAAATAAGTAGAGGGTAGGTTGATGATGTGTACCTTTCCGATGGAACCCATACCGACGATGCCTAGCGTCATGTTGGTGGGATCACGAGCTGGAATGAGCGAGCCAGGCTCTCCTCGCCACTTGCCAGCCCGTGCTGTGCGCTCAGCCTTGGAAGTATTTCTGAGAACAGCCAGGGTGAGAAAGATGGCCATGTCTGCTGTCGCCTCTGCAACAGCATCAACTGAGTTACAGAAAAGAATGTTATTCTTGGACATCCAATCAACATCAAACTCGTTGTATCCAGCAGATGCCGACGTGATGATGCGGCAGTCGGGCGCCAACGAACTCAAAAGACCCTCGTCAAATGGCTCAAAAGGCGGCGTGCCCATTCGAATGACAAAAGCATCTACAGGACCCTTTTCTTTGATCAACTCTGGCAACAGCTGCTGAGTCTCGGCGCGATCATTGGCGTCTAGCACGTCAAAGTCGTGGTCTCGACTAAAGGCTTCCAAATAATCAGCGCCGGCGAATTTAGGCGCTCCCAAGCTAACAACGTGGGGTCTCTGAGAAGTGCGGCTTGGAGACATGATGGATGAATGTACGGACTGGATGTAGAGAAGCTGTGCGACGGCCAAGGTATCGCGATTTGACCAACTAACTATATGCACCGAGATGCGCAATCTTGAATGCCTGGCTCGATCATGGCTCCCAAAGCAGCAAAGATCGACAAGGAAGCCCCCGAAGGCAGCGATAACCTGCCGGTAAGCCCCGTGATTGGTCAAGAGTGAACCCCCGCACCATGAAACCAACCAACCCTGTCCGGGCGATGCCTTTACAGATGAAAATAACTGGATGTATGGAAGGAATATCTGAGCCTCACCTTTCCGACAGGAATCCAAAAAGCGATGATGGCACAACAGAATACAGATTTAGGACCGCCTTTGGGCTTTCTCGCTGTCGAAGTTGACATTCACCGTCCCCCAGGCGATCCCTTTAACCAGGATACATGGCCCTTTCCCCTCATCCGCGAAAAGGTGACAGGCACATCGGAGGCCCAAATCGTCACCAATGGCGACTACGAAGATGCATTCATCGATCGTTTTGTGCAAGCCACGATAAGGCTTGCAGAGAGAGGGGCTGTGGGCGCCATTACCAGCTGCGGTTTCTTGGCCGCTGCCCAAACCAGGTATTCCGACTTCCAGTCTCAATTTGTTAGTACTGCACCCGCTGAACATGCCAGATTAGCAGCCCTGTCCCCCATACCTGTCGCCACGTCAGCTCTCGTTCAAGTTCCCAGCCTCTTGGCCATCTTCCCTGTCAACAGACCTATCGGGGTGTTAACATATGACAGTGCGAGGCTGGGAAGCGCTCACTTGCTGCAACTTGGCATTGACCCTAACCGCGTCCGTGTACGGGGACTATCGGATGACAGCCATCTCAGGGACATTTGCGCTCGTGGAGCGACTTATGATGCTGATCGGCTGGAGAAGGAACTTGTTGCTGAGGTGAAGTTGCTAATACATCACCATCCTGACATCTCCGCAGTCGTCTTGGAGTGTACAAACATGCCACCTTATGCCGATAGCATTCAAAATGCAATTCAGCTGCCGGTATACGATGTTTACACAATGGCCTTGTGGTTCTACTCGGGGCTGACGAGAAGAAATCCGTCGGCCTGGAAAGCATCGGATACTGGGAACACATAGAGACGATAGTTGATAACCACCAATCCCCATTTCCGCAGTCGTTCGTGCCGTGCGTGAATGCGGCCATCGTTGAACTCTTGGGACCGATCATACGTAGTTATGTCTTGCTGATTGTGAAGGCCTTGGCGACAGTACTGGGATCATCTATTGCTTCATAGAAGCTTACCCTGCATTATAGTATCTAAAACATCGTGATCTTGTTGTATATGAAGCTACCAATTACGTCTTTAGGCATCGATTATGGGAAGAGAAACAAATCGCATGATGACATTTGGTCATAGTGATTGAAACATCTTAAATTGAATAAAGCGTTCTATTTCAGAAAGTCGCCCCCAGTCTTCGCCAGAATGTATTGATACTCGGGCACAAATTGCATATACATAACCTCGGGGCTTCCAGTCCCATCCTTTGTGTACTGAGCCTCTTCTTCACCTACAAATGTCTTTTGCAATCCCGAACCGGCCAAAGACGATTCAACTAGCAGTTGTGTCTGACAAGCTCTTTCCAGGGCGATGAAAAAGGCAGCTGCTTCAGCAACAGTACCGCCTGATGTCAAAATACCATGATTCTGTAGTATGAGGTTTTTTTTCGTCGGACCCAAAGTGTCAGCAAGCCGCATGCCCTCCTCTTTAGCAAAGACGACACCGCCAAAGTTGGCATATACCGCAAGGTCATTGTAGAACATGCAACTATCCTGATTCAACATATCTATCGGCTTCCCAAACGTGGACCATGCGCGGCCATGGGGACTATGGAAGTGGCATGCAGCATTGATATCAGGTCGTCGTTTATGGATGGCTGCATGGATAATGAAGCCGGCAGTATTCACGGGTCTGTCTGCCCCGCCAATACGCTCTCCGTCTTCGTTGACATGAACCATGTCGGACACCTTCAAGAGGCCAAAATGGACTCCGTAAGGATTGAGCCAAAATGTGTCTGGCTTGACCGGGTCTGCTCCAAGGTCAGCTTATTAGTGGTTCAGTATCGACTGTACAAACCTACCTCTAAGGCTGATATGGCCACTCCCTCCATCAGCGAAGCCCAATCTCGCAAATATGCGAAAGGCGCCTGCCATTTGCTCCAATTGCCATCGTCTTGTAGCTTCGAGGGTATGGAATTGTGGAATTTGATGGAGTCTACTTTTGGGTTGACTCGTAGAGAGTGAAGCCTTGGAGGCTGTCGTGGTAATTGTAGAAGACATGATGAAAACTTGGTTGTAGCGCTAGAATTGATGTGTTTGATAGGAGATAATTCATTGTCTTATACGACTGATAACGCTTCAATCGATGGATTGTCACACCGTATCGCCGTCGGTAGCCGCCGTGATTGGCTGATGGGGTTCATCCAACAACACCCAAGCTTTGACCTTGTACACCCTCGGCAATATCCGATGTATCATATGACGCAAGTCTTGTACATAGAAAGGCGATATAGCGTCTTGTTTTATATAGTATATGTACACTGACTGCTACATGTAATTCCTTTTAATATCGGCTGGTATCAATCTTCATCCTTCTCCCCTCTTGTTCATTACGACGAAGATGCCTGCCATCAATACTCTATCGATCTCGGCTGAACCATCCCTCGTGCATCGAGGCGATGACTTTGCCAGCCCCGTCGATGTCCGAACTGCCTTCACACTGTCATTGTCTGCGGTGTACCGAAATGAAGTCCCCCTGTATGGGGATTTGGTCCAGATCGTCCATGCAGTAAATACGGACGTGCTTTTTGGGCAACCGGACCCTGTAAAAGATGCTCTTCTGTCTCAAAGACTTGATCTAGAGAGACACGGCGCCATCAGACTGGGCACCCCCTTTGAGCTACAGATTATGGCCCGCCTCTTTGCCGTTCTTGGCCTGAAGGCAGTGGGTTACTACGATCTTTCTGTCGCTGGACTACCCATGCATGGCACTTGCTTCCGTCCGGTTGACCTAGAATCCTTGAACCAGAACCCGTTCAGGGTCTTTACAACTTTGCTCAGGCCTGAGTTGATCACCAACGCCGAAACTCGTGAGCTGGCATTGAAGTTGTTATCACAGCGCCATATCTTCAGTGACAGACTTCTGGACTTGATAAACTGTGCTGAGAGGCAAAACTGGCTTTTGCAGATGTGTGAAGTTGAGACATTTATTCACGAGTCGATAAAAACTTTCAGCTGGATGCCAGAAGCTTTAGCATCAGAAGAAGAATACAGAAGGTTATCCTGGGAGCATCCCATACTTGCTGATATCGCCTCATTCAATACTGCGCATATCAACCATTTAACACCCCGAACGCTGGATATCGATGCTAGCCAGGCACAAATGCGAAAGCAAGGCCTTCAGGTCAAGGATCGCATCGAGGGCCCCCCTTCACGTCAATGCCCGATTCTCCTCCGCCAAACCAGCTTCCTAGCCCTGGAAGAAACGATCAGATTCCGCGACGCCAATGGGGATCTTATCCAAGGAAGTCATCGCGCTCGATTTGGAGAGATCGAGGAGCGAGGAGCTGCAGTGACTATTGCGGGGAGAAAGCTTTACGATGAGCTGTTGGCCAAGGCCACAAGCACCATCTGCGAGGGTTCAGGTGCGCAGAGCCTTGAGGCAATGGATAAGGCCATGAGTGATGCCTTTAACGACTATCCTGACTCGTGGTCAGAGCTACGCAAACAAGGCCTCATTTACTGTACTTACCACGGTACAGGTAAAGGAAGCTTTGATGTCACAGGGACTCTTTCGCTCGAGGAATTGGTTGACCAGGGATATCTGAAAGCCAATCCTATCACTTATGAGGACTTCCTTCCATTCTCTGCAGCAGGTATTTTCGCATCAAATCTAGATAAAGTCCAGAACGAGCCTTTACAAGCAAATGGCTGTCCTGATCAAGAGGGCTTTGAGAGTGCTCTAGGGTCTGCGTTATTGGAGCCCGAAGCCTTGTATGCGGACATCCAGCGAACGAGTATCATAAGATGCGGTCTGGTACCTAGGTTGGTTAATTATTAATGATTAGACCTTCAAGGCTGTGTAATGTTGTTTTAAGATATAAAACTCGATAATATCACTCGCCGTTCTGTTAAGCGAACCAGTCAAGTAGAGTGCAGAGCAATGGAGTAAATCTCTCTAGTCCTGTTGCAATGATGATATGATAATATGCAGTACTATAAATCTCTGCCCCTCCTACATCTGTACTCTTTCAGTACTAACCCCCCCTTTCATTGTTGGTCGTGCACATTGCCAAGCTGTTCTATGTAAGCCGGATAATAAATCTTCCCTTCTACTCTGCAGTTAATTGGCCCAAGCCAATATTAGTCAGTTATGCCTCATTACTTATAAGATGCATTTCATGCCGGGGCACAGAATATTTCCCTCCTCCTTCGTTTTCTTCTCTCACCAGCTTTATTCCACTCCATGTCACCTCCAGATCATTATGGATTCCAGCAACAACACTGTTTGGGTCGTCACTGGCGGCAACAGAGGCATTGGCCTTGGGTTCGTTAAAGCCCTCCTTGCTCGTCCCTCCGTCACCGTCATCGCCACGGTTCGCAACGACCAAGCAGGCACATCTCTCGTAGATGCTACTGTCGGTCTCGTCAAGGGTGACGGCACAACTTTGAGCATTGTGCAGTTAGACTTTACTACCCCGCTCTCTCCTCACCAGATCCGCAAAGCTTTCGACATTGATCACGTCGACGTTCTCGTCAACAATGCCGCCGCCTGCTTCAAATCTTATCCTGTACTCGACATCCCGACCGATGACCTTCGCTCCGCGTTCGACATCAACACAATCGGCCCCCTTACAGTTGTCCAGGGAGTTTGGCCCTTGTTGCAAAAGTCATCTGCTCCCAAGGTGATCAATGTTTCATCATCTGTTGGCTGTATCACCTACCATGAAGTAGTCGCTGGTGCATACGGACCTAGCAAGGCTGCCTTGAACTGGCTTACGCGTGCTCTGCATTTGCAGAATGAGGGCTTGGTAGCTTTTGCACTCCATCCTGGTTTTGTTAATACGGAAATGGGCGAGTCTGCTGCTACGGAGTGGGGATTTCCCCATGCTATGCTTGAGGGCGTCGAGGAAGCAGTAAAGGGCAGTCTTGGAATTATCGACAGTGCTACGCGAGAAAGTGTCTCGGGCAAGTTTGTTAGTTATAAGGGACAGGAGCTTCCCTGGTGAACTAGATTCCTTTCCAGAAGCTTTTTTTACGACTCAGGGAAGGCCTAGAGAAAATGAATTTTGGCTATGCCTTTCATGTCGTCACGATGATGGCCAAGCTCTATATCGTATTCCTCCGAGCTTTATTGTTACTACTAGTCTGCATCCCTAATGGCAAGTCCATTGCTCCGATGAATGTAAGTAGACAGTAGATTGAATATCCCCCTGTAGCCCCTCCTTTCAGCTACTGAAAGTGCTGTCTCGCCCCTGTCATCAACCGCCTGTATATCAGCCTTACCTGTCTCAAGAAGTACCCTCATGGCCTCCTCAGCATTCGCATCAGCAGTTAGTATTAACGGCGTCCTTCCCCATAGATCCTTCGTGTCAATATCGTACTTGCCACTTTCGTGAAGCATATTGATCACATCACCATTACCCCTTCCCATAGCCCACCAAAATAATTTTCGTGAAGTGTCGTTGCTTTCTCTCTGGAGAGAAAACCCTTTTGCACTGAGTAGTTGCAGAACCCTCCGATCCTGGCTATTGTCTAGAGCCCACGAAAAGGCCGTTTGTCCCCGTTCGTCCGTGAAATGCAGATCAACTAAGAAACTGCTGAGAAGAACCTTAAACATGTCTTCGTTCCCTCTGTGCATAGCCCACAAGAGTGGCGTTTTTCCTTGAAACGTCTGATTGGGCTCAATCATGCTCTCATCGAGAACCAGTTTAACCATTCTTAAATTTCCATCTGTGGTAGCCCTCCAAAAGCAACGCTCCGTGCCATTATCGCACCATACGTCTATCATAGTAGATTCAAGATCGGCCTTGCGCTCACTCATAACATGGTACTCATCCACGATAGATCTTGCAGAAACTGTTCTTTCTTGAAAGTCCTTTTGGCTGATACCAATCTTTCCTGTGTCGAGGAGCAGCTGGACGATACTCAGGAATCTATGCTGAACGGCGACAAAAAAAGGGGTGTAGCCACACTCTTCTCTGATGCTGATATCAATCTGGCCTGTATGAAGAAGGAGATCGACCATATCTTCATCATTTCTGTTCACTGCTTCGAAGAATGGCGCATCATGGCGGCCCCATTCTTGACTGGCTAACTCTGCGGTACTTGCATCCCTGTCCAACAAAGCATCCACAAATTCAAGTGCGCCCATTGAAACAGCTTCATACAGCAATTGATGTACAGTTAAAGCTCCTTGGCCCTCTTGAACACATAAAAGCGCAAAATCAACCAGATTAGTGTTTATAATATGCTCAAGGACTGTCACATCTGCGGTATACTCTGAGAGAATGGTGTGTGGCGATTTCCGAAACAAGGCCGCGGCGATATCGTAATGGTGGTTGTCAATAGCTAGGACTATTAGAGTTCCATCTAGTAGAGCACTCATATCGTCCCAAGAGCCGTATGACAATAAGAGACTGGCCACCGCCGCCCTACCTCCACGTATGGCGACAAAGATTGCCTCTTCATCCCCTTCATCCTCTTCATCTTCCTCGAACTCTATGATATTATCAATCTCGACACCCCTGTATCTCCTCGTATCACCACCGCCCTCGAGGAAAACCCTCAAAAGTTCGTTTAAGACATGATCGCTACCATCAGTCCGATTCAAACATTGTGTTGCAAAGAAGACAGCCCCGTCAAGGTCTGAACCCTCTTTCATAAGCTTGTATACTAGTTCCTTATCCTCTTGAATTATGGCATGAAACATCAATGACTTCTCGTGTTTGACCTCAGCACCTGCGTCGATCAAGCCTCGGATTACCGTGTCTGCTTTGATGGACACGGCTAAGCTCAGAGGTGTTTCACCATCAACATTGGCGGTATTAACATGACCGAGGTACTTGAGTGGCACCACAGTGTCAGTTGGCCAGTCTTCTGAAGCAGAGGCGTCATTCTCAGTCTGCCATATTCTTGAGCGTTCCAGTATCATGAGGGCCATATCTTGATAGTTCTCCCGCAAAGCAAGCTGAAGGGGGGTATTCCCTTCGGGGTCCTTGGTATCCAATTGTGAGCTGTTCCACTGTAGTAAAGTATCCAGCAAGCTAGCGGAACCAAACGCTATCGCGAGGTGAAGAACCGAGGCGCCGGAGAAGGGCCAGCCCCTAGGCGCATGAGTACCGCCAGGGTCCATTATTCTCCATATGCTCGCGAGCATTCCAAGACGTCCTGGCTGGTACCATTGAATGAGTGCCACCAAATCAGCCTGGCAAATAGCTTCCTCCTCGACGGCCGTAACATGGTCGAGAAGAAATGTTACTCCGTATGGCATCAGCGGGAAGGTTGCTGATAGTTTCTCTCGCGATAGACCATTTGCGTTCAGGATTTCTTCCAACGTCAAGTACCTGAGAAAAGACCTGGATATCTCATAATGGCCGGCTCCAGCTGGGGACCCAGATAGCGGCTCTTGGCGAATATTGGCGAGAAACTTCTGTGCCACAAAGTCTGCAGCTGACTGATGGATGAACTGGGCTTCTCTGCTCCATTCTTCACCTCCAGGCTCATACTGTTCATAGACATCACGATTCTGGAACTCCACAAGGCCTCTGGATATATGCCGGACACGCATCTCGAACTGGGATAAAGAATCCGACCAGGTGCCATGAGATCTGAGCTCCGAGACTGTTGTATAATGCATGTCTTTGTCAGTAGCGAGTGCTTCTCGGAGCTCCTGGGCTGACAATGGTCGTTTAGCCAAGAGAACCCACTGAAACAGCTTGGCCATCTCCTTATGCTTGTCATTGGTCGCCCCCCTCAATATGACGTCGTACAGCTCGTCGAGGTCTGGTGGGGTTGTCGATATGATATTAAGTAGGTCCTCGATTCTAGCGCCAGCCAACTCTTCGTCTAGTACCATGTTTGTGATGAGTATGGCCCATTGGAAGCCCCCATGGGCCTTCAACAAGATCTCTTTCTCGATCTCTCGCCGCCTCTCCACGGGCTGAACCTCCTTGAGTCGGCCTCCAATGACAAGTCTGATGTCCTGGTCATTCCTCTCTTCCACATAGACCTTCGCCATCGTCTCATGGCCAAGTATCGGGAAATGCCTCGATGAAAAACAGATCTTGACCATGGATCCCTGTCGCTCCGCATTCTCAATGAGGCTCTTGAGAAATAATAGTAGGCTTTTGGCATGTTCCCCACACTCATCAAGCGCGTCAATGAATATGACAACCGGTAGCTCTTTAGTCCCCTCTATCAAGAGTCGGGATAGGAATTTCTCCAATTCCTTTTCATTCCATCTCCAGCCGTTCTTCTGGTCAAAGGATCCGTACCGCTTCTCTTTATCTTGGAAGACATCTGTGAGCTCCGCCAGATATTTTGGAAACGACATGAGCAAAGAATTCAGCAAAGCGCGAAATATGCCTAAAGGTGTCCGTTGTAGTTCTATGCCGCGTCCATGGATAAAAAAGGAAGCGATAATTTCCCCAGACTTCCTGCGGCTTACTGTATCAACTGCAAATTTCATGATGACTGATTTGCCTGTTCCAGGACATCCTTTAATCCAGAAGAGCCCACGAGCCGCATTCATCCACTTCTGATAGTTGTAGTCTTCTAGAAGCCAGTCGCAAGTGTCGCTCGCATAAGAGATCTCGGAGTATCTGTGCTCTTGCTCAGGGAATGATAGCGATTTCAGGCATTCTACTTCGTATCAGCGACACGTAACAGCTTTCTATCTTGGCTCATACCCTGATCGTCACTTGAAAGTTGAACACAAGCTGGAAGACATGTAAGTATATTGAGCATTTACACCTTAAAATCTGGCATCGAACCTTGTGGACCTTCTCTTATACCTCCAATACCAGGCCGTCCTCGTGAAATACCAATTATGGGACGTAGTGCGACCAACACTCTTCGGTACAATTGATCATGTACACCGCTGTATTTTACCATCTCAGAGTGGTTGCGGTTGATGGGATGCTGCTTTTGGCAACCGCATGTTGCCGAGAATACCTCTACCAGCACTTCGCTAGGACCAGACATGTCCCATTTTCCATCGATCTGACAGCGGTGTTAAGAACAGACAATGTTTCTCGACGTGTAGACAACTCACCCAAACTGCGGTAGGGGACTTCTCTGTCTCATAGAACGACACAACAGAAAAGCCCCTCGCTTTTGATATTTTGCTAAAGCCATTCTGTAGATGATCGAGAAGTGACGAATTCTTGTTAAGAGATTCGAGTAGTGCCCGGTTGGGGTTATCCTTTACCAAAGGGATCAAACACTCGACTTCCAAGCCTCGATGGGGAACCCCAAAGAAGGTGAAACCGGAAATGGCGTTCAAAATTGGAAAGTCAGGCCCGAGAGGCTCTTCTTGTAGTAATCGGACAGCCTAACGGGCGTTAATTGATAGGCCTTCTGAAGCACTTTTCAATTACTCACCTCTTTGACGACAAGTCCACCCAGGCTATGTCCGATGAAAAGTATCGAACGAGGTTGGTTCGGGTCCTCTTGGGCATTAGCTGTTGAAAACAAACGGGAAATATTTGGTCAAATACATAAATGTCCTCAAGGTCAATCTGCAGTGCCCGTCCCAAGTCTGTCAAATTTTGGAAGGCGCTGCTCTTGGAGAGCTTCGTATCATATCCATAAGTTAAAATCCTTGCATTCGGGATGTCTGATGGAAGCGCATCCCGAAGCCAAACGAAGCGGCCATTCTTTTCCTTGAATGAACCCAAGGCATGCCCCCCAAGGCCACAAACTGCAACCAAGCTAGTGAGGAACGTTAGCAAAAATACATTGATAGACTGATTCCGGTCAACTCACTCAATATGGCAATCGTTGTCGTTTGTGCGGTGAAAAGGTGTGAAACCTGTAAAGTGTGTGTCGAAAGCAAGAGACCTGCTGAAATCGATGTCGTTACCATCGGACAGGTTAAAACTCCACTCAGTCTTTGTGCGATCGGATAAACATTCTGGAATTGAAGGAAAGCTGAGTGTAGCGATCTTGCTATTGGGATCGGTGGGGGAACATGCAAGCGAGTAGACAGTAGGACTGGCGCTAGGCTCGAGTGCCAGAGTTTTCTGAATAAGGTTGCAGACCTCACTCCGAGTCTCGCAATCACGCGGAATGCCCCGTAGTCTGAAGTTTTTGTGGCTAGCTGCTGCCATTGCGGATACTGCCTGCGCTGCAGGTAAACATGTACATGCTCGAATAAGACTGAGGGAAAAAGATGGAAAACTTTGAGTCGGAGAGAGATATGAGGAGGGCGTATCAGGACTTCGTCTGCGGCTGAAAAGCTGGAATAGGTGCCCAGAATGTCTTGTATGCATGAGTTAGGGGTGATAGGTCCTCGGCGAATGATAACTCCCGCAGCCATGCAGGGGAGGGTTGAAAATAGGCAGAAGTGCAGTTCTCGGTGACTGCAGCTTCACCGACTCTGCGCCACTAACGTCACAGGGCTAACTCAACAAAGTCAGATCATTGTGAAAAAGAGGACAATGATAAAGGACGTATTGTACTTTGCTGTCAGGCCACGACTCGTTCAGTCTTCACCAAACGGCGCCTTTCTTTGATAGCGAATTTCCACTCTTTAGCAATTTTCCAAGACAGCAGAACCGCAAGCCCAATGAGAAGGCCAAAAGAGACCAAGATCGCCAAAACGCTGACACCAAGCGCCAGCCCCTGCCAGTTGGCACCGCCACCTGTTTCAAGTGAGGCCACCACCTGTAGTCCACTCAAAGTCACAGAGGTAATTCCGAATGCGAATAAAATCGGCGCGTAGAAACGTGCGAAATACTGTCCGTATTGGAAGTCAATTCTCTGGAAGTAGGACTTGTGCAGAATGATCGGAGCGTAGAAGTTGAGGCGAGTAAGGCGGATTTGACCGTAGGCATAGCGCAGGGAAACATCTTTATCCAGGATCTTATCAAAATCAGAGGTGAAGTCGCAGAACTGCTCCCAAGAGATACCTTCTGGGATAAGACAAAGAGTAGGATCCTTGGCGATGCGAAAGTCTGATTCATGCTGGATGAGAAAGAAGTATGTGCGTAGATAACCCAAGGTTGCGCGTCGAATACGCACGTCGTCGCTTGTATTGTTACTGCAAAGATGTTCTCTCCAGAAGCCGTTGGACCCGATGAATCGTGGAAGAGGCTTGATGAAAACACGGTTGTTGATCCATAAGAGATGTAGCTTCGGGTTCTCTGTCACGACGATCGACCGGCCTTGTAGTAACTGTCGATGCAGTGGCCATATATTTGTGCTATCTTGTTTTGACATCCACCAGAGCTTATCCGAAACTCGATCTAGGTCGTCTGAGCAAAACTCAGACATGAGTAATTTCTTGATCTGATCGCTGCCATGACGAGGAACTCGAGGGAATCCTGGCACGTACCCGCTCTGCTGGTCCCGAAGCAAAGAATGTTCTGGTCTAAAGGGCGGTTTGAACATGTTAGGAAACATGAAGATGTTCGTGTTGGAAGGTTTCGAGATACAGCCTCACCTGGGCTCATTGCAACACACCAATTTCTTTCAGATAACGAGGAGCTGGATTTCCCAGTGTAAAAATGTCGTTCAGCTGGACAACCGATTATCAGGTTGATGTGCCACTGGGCCTCGGCGCTTCAGGTCGCAATGTTATTGGCTGACAATCAGTGCCGTAATGTAATTTCAACCTCCCTGTATTTCGTCCTTCATAAATTATTAAAGACCAATCTATATTTATCCTGTCTGTTTGTAAAAGGAATTTTATTCAATCATCTCGTCAACCCAGTCCAAATTCCACTCAATATGCTCAACCAGCACTCAAACGTCTCAAACCTCAAACAAGTTGATATCAACTCTTGCGTACTGCCAAGTCGGTACCCTCAAGCAGGCAGGGCTTAATATTCCTAAGCTCAATGGTTGTTTAAGGATTGTAGCTGAACGCGACTATAACTCACTCCAGGAATAACTTCTTTTCATGATGGATAAGTCTGCCTGATCATGTCACCAACTTGGAAGAGATAGAATTGCAAGATTTTGTTTCCCTTAAAGCCTGTGTCTTTTGGGGGGCCTGGGGAAGTTCCATAATGCTGATTCCCCGCATAAACACATGTAGTTCAGCATTTTTATCATGTCATGGGTGCATTCGTTCAAATTTCCGCCGGCTAATTAGAACTAAATCCTACATTTAAGCAGGGCTAACTATTGGTGGAAGAGATTAAAGATCGTCGGACATAATGTATCACTGCAGAACTTCATTATAATATTATGCGACTCGCGCGGCTATGAGTAGAACATGCTACCTAAGCATGGTGATCATCTAGAAAACAGCACTCTAGAAATGAGGGGCAGGATTTTGCCTAAACTTTGGGTTAATCGGGCTTATCACATGTAGTGGTTCAATGTATCTCGTAGATATAATGCCAACTCGAGACTAAAAGTCAATCAACCATCCATTCTTCCATATACTGTATAACCATGAAGATGCATCTACACTTTGTTTTCCTCTTTGCTATCCGCTTCTCAGTGGCCGCACATATCTTCGTTGATCGGAAAGGACAGGACTATAATCCTGGGTCAGCCGGCAAGCCTGTGAAGAGTATCCGAAAAGCACAAGAGCTTGTCCGTGAACTCATTCCGTCCGCACAAGATGACATCACTGTCCACCTTGGCCCAGGTACTTGGGTAATTAACGAGCCCATCAAATTTAACAGTGAAGACTCCGGTACCAATGGCTTAACGGTGACATGGGCTGGTTCAGATACGGTCATCTCTGGAGGACACAAGATTATCGATTGGACTGAAGGCAAGAACGGGATATGGTCTGCTTCCGTCCCGAAGGGGACGAAATCCCGCAACCTCTACATAAACGGATTGGCTGCACAGTATGCTCGACGACGAATCCACAATCGGACAGATTTTGAGTACACCAAAATCGGAATGACCTGGAACAGCTCGGATTACGACTGGATCATGAACACACCAGGCATTGAGAATGGCGAGCTTCGGGCGATAAATTCATTTACGGATCGTGTTGCGCTCATCGAAAAGGTTAGCAACCGCGTCCTTGAGATGAAGAAGGATATATGGGCCAATCAACTCATCGGTTATGACCAAATCGCAGAGCCGTTTTGGGATGGAGGCGTTTGGATTCAAAACGTCAAAGCCTTGCTGACTGACGGCGGTCAATTCTACCTTGACAGAAACGAATCGACTGTCTATTACAAGCCATTGGAAGGCGAAGATATGGCCACCGTATCTGGCTATCTCGGCATCCAAGAGGTTCTCATGGTCGTCGGTGGAACCTATAAAGAGCCGATTCACGACTTGCACTTCGAGGGAATCGCCTTTAAGCACAGCACTTGGCTAAGGCCAGACACTTATGGTTACATAGATCAACAGACTGGTGGTTACATGGGAAATGATAGTCAGTGGCCTAATTTTGAAGCATCGAGGCCCCATTGGTGGCAGATGCCCAGCGCGATCCAAGTCAGCGCGGCATACAACGTCACCATAGAGTCTTGTACTTTCCGAGAGCTTGGAGCTGGAGGCATTGGTGTAGGAAATGACAAGAATGCGCACGTGACGGGCGTTGGCCTTGGGGCCAACAACATCCATATTGATGACAATTATTTCACGCAGGTGATGGGGAATAGTATCACCGTGGGAGGTATACAAGCCGATGCACACCACCCATCACAGCCGCAGATGCTTGTGTCAGACATTCACGCCTCCAACAACATATTCAACAACAATTCAGTCCTCTGGTCATCCACCGTCCCCATTCTTTTTACATACACGCAATTCTCTTCCATAATACACAACGATGTTTATAACCAGCCATATAGCGGTATTTGCCATGGTTATGGTATGGTTTGTTCCTTCCTGACGAATAAGACTGCTAATGGGTTCTAGGCTGGGGAAGCAATGATGAAGGAGGGAGCCCAGAGTACGTCAAGCGAGGCCTTTACAATTACCAGCCACTCTATGATACACCCACCGTCATGAAGAACAATTTGATTGAGGGAAATTTGATTCATCATTTTGGTCAATCTCATACTGACTTTGGAGGCGTATACACGCTTTCACGGTCGCCAAACACAATGGTGTCATCTAACCTCATCTATGACGCAAGCTGGCAAGCCCTATATCCTGGCACGTAACTTATATAAATCATCGTAATGCTTGCTGATACTCGGAACAGATGAAGCCTCAAGAAACATCACCTGGTTCAACAATCTGGGTTTCACTTCAGGAAAGTATTATGCGCCAAATGATTGGATTCCAGAGCAGCTCACCGGATGTATGTTCATTGTTTATATGCGGTAGATAAAGTGCTGACATGACCAGGGAACACAGTGATTGCTAATTGGGGTAAACTCGGAGTCAAAGACAACGAGGTCCTAGATGGGTTCCCAAATCATTCCGGAAGACGTAACAACACGTTCCTACGAAACTACCTTGCGCCCTACATAAATGGAACAAGCCTCATAGCACAGCGAGCTGCATATCGTGCAGGGGTTACCCCATCAAAACGCAAGGGAAGGCCCATCACAAACGATCCAAATATCGCAGATGCCTACTTGGATGTCAAAGTCAGCGATGGACATGTCGTTGTTAACGTGACTAACTTTGACGATTGGGACTTCAGAGACGTTGTTTTCCGTATCTCGGGCCGTGGTATCACGTTTACAAGAAAGTTTACCCCTCACTCAATCCCTGCTGATGGTTCTGCAGCGGCGGTGTATACTTTTTCTGGTTCCCCAAAGGGAAACGCCACCGCCTGGGTGAGCTATGCAAATCCGAGAACACAAAGGTATCGCAGAGAGAAGGAGTTTTCTCTAACTATGTAGCAAGATATCCAGCCTGGATTACATGAGCCTCAAGGAGTTATCAGTTGTCACTGGCCTGCTTTTCACAGCGACTACCTAACAGTCAGATACTTAACGCTACAAACATATGGTAGCGGTCTTTCCTAGCTCCAGAGTGGCAGATAAGAGCAAGCCTATTCTTGAAGTATATTCTTAATTACATCAAGTGTTATTTAATGCGTTGGTTTGCAAATGGCAGCTTGAAATACCTCATGTCGAAGAATACGCCATGTTCTCTTGTAACGTACTTGCGGAGTTTCTCCCCTGGTCATAAACTCCGCTTAAGGCCCAAGCCCGCAGCCTTGTCCAGTAACTCCGTGAGATACATATCTACCCAACTACCGAACGTTGCAGATCAAAATCCCGGGCTAGGCGTGGGGCGGAGCGATGTGGGATGTCAATTCCGCAGATCTCGGGGTCTTCGGCAAACCGCACGGTCAGAAATGTGACTTTACAGCCAACATACTACCGATTCTAGATCATAAAACACATCTTTTGTCCTCACTATACCTAACCCTAACTATCAGTAATCCAGTAACGGCACCCTTGTATACGAGAACTTGTCTTTTCTGTCCAATAACAACATTATATAATACATCAACCTTTCTCTATAAACCCTTATCTATATAGGGGACAAGAAAAAGCATAAAGATGACTATCCCATGTCGCTGAATTTATTAACAACCCCCCTTCAGCTCAGCCTACCCTCTTCGCCTTGTATTTGCCCATCCATTCCGGTTTCATAAACAACACGAAAACCCTAAACCCTAACATGACACCCATTGCCAACCCAGAGCCCCAAGTCAGCTTGGTAGGATAAATCCCACTATCGGTCTCCCCTACAACCCAAGCCTGCCAAAACAAGAGCGGTAAAGCCATACCCTCAAACGAGGCTAGCATCCGATACGTTACCCGCCTCGTTTCTACCGCTCCAGCTTTATTTGGGATCCCAAGTGCTATTGGTACCGTCATGGCGGCTAGGCTGATGCCGAACAGTTGCATCACAGGGACAGCGTGAGAGGCCGCAGACGGGTCATCGGTTGAGTACATTCGTTTGAAAGCTTTTTCCGCGTTGAATACCATGGGGATAGCCAAAAGGATATTAAACGTCGATTCAGCGACCGATATAATTCGGACAATGGTACCAGAAGCTGATGGATCAATCTCCATTGACACTTTGGTGTCAGCTCCGATGCTTTTGTTTGTGTTTGCCATAATTGTGCGCGAGGAGGATAACTGCTGGTGTTTCTTAATCGAAGTATGATATTATGTAGAGGTGAAGACCCGAGGGCTTGGGATGAGGCTGTCTTATAAACCTATTCACGGCCAGGGATAGTAATCAATTGTCGCGTTGCCTTCAAGCTCAAACCCCATAACCAACTAGTGGCCCAGATATTCCAGTGCTCTGAGTGGTCCGGGAAGCTCGGATAGCTGCCATAACGCAAAGCTTAACGTTATGCTTAGAGTTATGCTGGGTATCTGGACCTTGAAAATAAGGTATCTACCTATATCTTTACTTTACTATATGTAAATACCAAGAGCTCCATATAAATAAGTTTGCTGTAACGTTTATTAACCCAAGTCCTGCCACCCTGATAAACTACCTTCGATTTTAATACATAAGCAGCATAACCATCTATTAGATTACAACTTATTGTCACATAACATCACACCATGATAAACCGTGCCCACTATAGACATGTGCTAAAATAATTATGGCGCACTAAGGGTCCTTGATCAAAAGCATTCAAGAGGCAGATCGGGTGAATTGAGACTCGGGAGTCCACACTTTCCGGTAAAAGCAAACTCAGGGAACCTGGCGTCCAGAGTCTGCTTTTAATATTCTGGGTTCTGTCCGACATATCGCAAACTTGATCAGATTATACGAATGTAAATGAGATATAGAAGAGTCCTCGCTCTTATCTTGAACGCCAACAGCAAGTAAATTGATCTTGTTGACTTGAAATATCTTGACTAGTTACTGAGCAATTAATAACCAGGGAAAATAAAGGATTTCTCTGGAGCTATATTCTCTGTCCCTCCGTCATTAGGTAAGCCACCTAGGAATCCCACCTGCAGCGTGTAAAGGTCCGGATTAGCTTTCAGAGCTTGGGCCTGCGTGATTACATGCTCTAAATCCTGTTGGACATCAAAGTATCTTCCATTTAGGCAATCCTTTGCAATACCAGTGGCCAAAGCCACTGATACCATGCCACTCAAATAAGGAGAATCTTTAAAGCCCTCCAACACTTGAGCCATTATCTTGAGGACATGGGGGTACTGACCCATTATCTCATCTAAATGGGCTTCATGGAAGGTTAGGAAAGAGGTATGCATTATTTTATAAAGGAGCAAAATACCTGCAGATGTCATCTGTGAGGGCACGGCACCTGGATGGATGGAATACATCTGAATCCCATCATGACCTCCCAGTTCCAATTCTGCTTGCCAGCAGCTAGTAAGTCGTATAAGTGCGGCTTTACCAGCACAGTAAGTGGTGTTAAAGGGGATATTGACCGTTCCGCCCCTAGAGGCTATGTTGATTATAGTGCCACTTCGGGCCTGGATAAAGCTTGGCATAACCAGACGCATCAAATACATAGGGCCATTTAAATTGATGGCCCAGTCTTGAAGGATAGCTGCGGGATCTTTTTTGTGCATCTGTTTGGGTCGAGCATTGTCAGCAAAGTCAGGCTTGTCGGATTTGGCTGTCAGCGAACCGGTCCTATACTATCCACCCCAGCATTGTTGATAAGTATGTCGATATTGCCCAAGTTACTTTCCACCTTAAAAATTGAGTTTAGTTGGTTACTTGGTTTAATTAATTGGGTGAACCAGTGAGACATTGCTTACTTCCTTTATGAGATTCTGGCAGCTGTCCAAGTCGGACACATTACATTGAATGGATGTGACGGCTGTGGCACCGAGAGTTCGACATCGATTCAGAAAATCGGGAGAAGGTTCAGTTCGGTTAAAAACAAGGACCAGGTTAGTCCCGGCAACAGAGAAGCACTCTGCCAGTGCCCGACCAATTGTTCCAGTTGACCCTGGCCCGAATCTCAAATCAGCATTTTGAGGAGAACTAAGGGTAGCCTCTATTGATACTTACCTGTAATTAGAGTAACTTTGTCTTGCAACGATGCCTTGAATTTGAGAGGGTGAATGAATGGATAAACCTCATTGTGCAAGCCAGGTTTAAACGAATCCATGACTTGCAAGATGGTTACGAAATCACATAACATCAATCGCAATGTAACCCAAATAAAGTTATCAAATTATTTTGCAATGATTATATATTGTAAAGTTGTTAGGACTGGGCTTTGAACAGTAGTACCCCGCGTTTTCCGATCTGGATCTTGCTGACTCGGCTCCACGCAGATCATATCGGTAATGCAATCTTATAAATCGGAATATTGCTGCCTCGGCTCCACCTACCCTCCACCCACCCGAAGTTTATTGGTGTTTTAAGAAAAGTTCGTCTTAGAGTGAAATGTGTATGGGGGAAACCCCTGTACCTTTACCTTTACTGGGCTTATAATATTTAAATAGATAGAGTAAGTTTAGTTGTTTCTAATCCCATGAGAACTTATCACTCATCCTTTAAGCTTTTCTGGATCAACTATCACAAATAAAACATAGCTCCTATCTAAAGCTTGTTTCTGCTTCTTCTTTATCACTATGTCAAGAGACGCACTTCTTGCCGACGTCGAAAAGACCTGGAACGAGCACCTTATCGATCAGCCTACGCAAACTGCTGAACAAATTAAAGCTGGCAAAGCACTCATTGAGCTTTTCTTAGCCACTTTCGTATACCATGACTACGACCGCACCCGCGAATTAGTCTCTGAGGATTATATCCAGCATAACCCGACACTTGGGACTGGAAGAGAGTCTATCATCGAATTCGCTGAGAGAGAAACCACAGACCCCAACAGACCTTTTAAGTGCAACTGGAAGCGCATTCTGGTTGATGGGCAATTCGTAGTTGCCCACATTCATGTGGAGGCTTATGATGGAACTGATGGCGTGAGAGTGGTAGAGATACTTCGGTATGAAAAGGGCGTTTTTACGGAGCACTGGGATACTGCCGCCCCGGTTCCCCCCAAGTCAGAGTGGAAGAACCAAAATGGCCTGTTCTGAATCAAATAAGAAGTGGTATTAGGTCTAGGAATGATACAGTCGTTGACCTCCTTATGCAAACTACTCAGGTCGACAACTTCGTGGATGCTTTGCTGCAGAGGGATGCAGATATCGTAGAAGTGTGGAGTCAAGCTTGAATCTGCACCTGAGGGTTCTAAAATTCTCTATTGCTAAGCTCAGGATCAATTGCTGAACCAGATATCAACAATACCCAGGGCCAGGTGACGAGGGTGGAACGATGTGGGATGTTGCTTGTGGATACCCCGGGTCCTTTGTCAGCCAGTAGCACCAGCACCAGCCTCCACAATCGGATGTACAAGTATATAAACCAAGATACAATTTATTTAAAATTACAGAATAACTTTACACATCGCTGTTTATATCTTATCTTCAACACCATTCATCATGCCTGTTGTAGCTATTGCAGGAGGTACTGGTAGTGTTGGCCGCTTCATCGTTGAAGAGACCATCGCAGATGGCAATTTTGAGGTCATCATCTTAGGCCGAAAGGTTTGTCAATTAGGGCCAGATATCGGGATACCCAAGTTAATCATCTCTACACTCAGGTCAATCTATCGCTGGAGAGGGAGCTCGGAGCACGTATTCTGCCCATTGATTACTCCAATCCCGATAGCATCACAAGCTTGCTCGAGGATAACCACGTCGACGTCGTGGTTGCCGCACTGAGTGGACATACACCTCCCGAGCAGGAGATTGGTCTTATCCAAGCCGCTGCGAAGTCTAAACCCACCAAACGATATATCCCCAGCGTCTGGGGGGTCAAGTATCGTCCGGAGCATTCTTGGTTCTTCAATGCCGCAGCCAAGCTGTCCCTCTTTGATGCACTGGAGAAGACTGACCTGGAATGGACCGCAGTTGCAAATGGCTTCTTTCTTGATTATTGGGGTGCCCCGAATCTCAAGACCTACCTCGATCCCCTGACTATAGTTCTTGACATTCCTGCGAGAAAGGCTGCGATCCCAGGCAACCCGAACCAGCCAGCGGTCTTCACATACACTAGGGATGTTGCCAAGTTTACAGCTAAGCTCTTGACGCTGGAGAAGTGGGAGCCAGTATCGTATATTGTCGGCGACAGGCTTACGTGGAATGAACTTACACGCCTTGCTGAAGAGGTAACAGGTAACATAAGTTCTCCAACACCAGTAATATGCTCTACTTATCCAAACTAACAAGGATCATCAGGCGACAAATTTGAGATTACCTACGACTCAGTCGAGTTGCTTAAATCGGGAAAGGTCACGGAGCTTCCGGGTCACATGCCTGTCTACCCCTTCTTCCCCAAAGGAAAGCTGCAAGCCATGCTAGCCGAGCTTGGTGTCTTGTTCGACCAGGGTGTGTTGGATTTCCAGCCGGAGAAGACTATTAATAGCCTTTTCCCGGATATAAAAGTTATGACAGCACGGGACGCTTTGGAGATTGCATGCAAGAAATAGTCTAGTCCTGCGTTATCAGAGTGATTAATAAAGCTCTTGAATATTTTATCGTTGGTTGACTCTTCGCATACTCAGAAGTCAATTATGCCATCCAGATCAAATAGAAGCCAGATCAAATAGAAGATGACCCAAGCTTTTCGTAAACATATCTGTATTTGGTTAGTTCGGTTCGAGCGGGTGCTGTTCTCTTGAAAACGAAGTAACCGAATCAGGTAAAGTCAGAAACCTGCATCCCACATCGCTCAGCCAAGATCCCACATCGCGCATTTTTGTCGATCCACAACAGTAAGGATACGCTGGACAAGGAACAAGCATGCTCCATCCCACATCGCGCCTCACGAGCAGTTCTAGTCCTTTATCGACTTATCATACTCTAGATCTTAAATGTCTTCTGACCTATCCCGATTCTACTGCAACTATACGGCATGCGAGCGGTCGTACAAGAAGAAGGAGCATCTCTTACGCCATGAGAGGGATCACTTAAACCTGCGCTCATTTGCATGCAGGCTATGCCCAGCTACTTTTAATCGAAGGTGGGTGCTTCGGTCTGTCTCAGTCCTGGCTTATACATGCTGAAACCTCAAGTGATCTGCTCAAACGCCATGAGACAATCAGCCATCCGCTTGGCCAAGGCGCTCTACAAGAAGACCCAGGACCATCAACAGAAGAGACAGTGCCTGAATCACAAGAAACTGTACCTGTGTATGAGCTGGGCGAGTCTCCTGTGAATGCATTGGACTCTTTTCTTGGCACAGAACTTCAAGGTTTAAATCTGGCTTCAAATCCAGCCATGCTGCTACTCCAAGAATCATGTCGGAACGAGCTTGAATCGTCTTACTTTTTGCACTTTCACCCCCATTGGCCTCTGCTGCATAAAAGAACTTTCTTGCAATCAGTGCCTCCTCCAGAACTGACTGCTGCCGTTTTAGCAGCTGGACTATGGGTGCTTGACACTCCAGAGACCAGGGACAAAGCCCGATTTTATCACGATGCCTTGCTCAAGACGCTTTATGAACAGCTCGTGAGATAAGAATTCCTATTAGATATCAGTTATCTGATATTCATGTAGTTCAAACTTCCCGTGCCAGCTACTGACTCATCTGGTCCTCGAGCTGAGTTCCTCCCTACATTCCAGGTTCTTCTCATTTCCCTGATCATCTGCACCTACCGTGGGGTAGAGACATTTCCATCCCCCTTGTTTCACAGCAAGCAGGTATGGCAGTTGTTCCAATCCATGGGAGTATATGATCAAAAGGCGATCGATGATCGAAACTCAAGTCCGATAATCCGCGAGTGCTACCAACGGTAGGCCACATCCCCCCTTACCCGAACATGCTGTACTGACATGGCGAGGCTGGCCCTTTTGCACTTCAAGGTGCACGTCCATCTCAATTCTATCTTAATGAGTCACTTTTCTCAATTTAAGCCGTTCGACTACCTGACGCCGAGCATGCTCAAAGTTCGGATTCCCTCATCGGGCTCACACTGGGAGGGTGGTGACGGGTCACTTCCCTGCCAGGGACACGGATCACGAATGGTCGCCGATTTTCTCGGTGACTATACTGAATTGACTCGCTTGTCGGATCTCATAGCTTGGGACTTTACTTTAGGAATGGTTATTGGATGCTACTTGGTGAGACCGGCTGGGGAGACTCATCGTCAATTGATGATGCAGTTAGATCCATTTTTATTTATTCATTTGAAGTCTTTTAAAGATCAATAAATTTACTATAAATTTACTATAAATTTACTATAAATTTATCCTTGAAGCAGAGTAGTCGCTCTTCTCACTTTCAAACAAGGAGACCACGTCAATATACGCTCTTCTACGTCTCCCAATCTGATCTGTTAACGCACTTCCGCGATGCTAAGCTGATTCCAATCGGGACCAGGCCCTGCATGAAGTATCTCAGGATATTGAACTATTAGTATCTTACAAACTTACATAAAAGAGCGGGACTGCTAACGAGAAGCAATTCCATCAGTTGATTTTAAGTTATACTCGTTTTGTTAACTGCCTACATAATGACATTGTCTTTGGTATAGGGTATTGTTCATATCCTAGAGCTTTTATCTAGTAATTACCAGCCAGGGTTAGTAATCTACACAATTAATCTAAACCTAACGAACTGCAGATAAAAAAGAAAACATCCATAGATTAAGATCGAGTTTCGTCCTATTTGTACAAGCATCCAAGTCTGGCGATCCATTCTGTAAGTCCAGTATAGCACAATACGACGATGACTTTTGAGTGAATACAGGTAGTAGGCCGAGTGATGTCGTCTAATATACTTATTAGGGTCTCGGCTAAAATGGCTGTCTGTTACTATGAGCTCATCGAAATTCTATCTTATAGCGCAAGATAAGGACGTCTTGGATGGGGAGAGTTCCCAGATTTCTCGTCCCTCAATCTAGCGGTGGGTATTTTGGCATCTATAAATAGATTCAACGGAACTTGCCATACTTGGTCTCGAGGTGATTGGCCAGATTCTCATGGCGTCCCCACAGACCTGTCAATCTTATCCTGGCGTGCTTGAGTCGTGCCGCTCGTGTTCGGGGCCTTGGGCGACTCCGAACCTGAATCTTGGCGATGACTTCGTCATTCTTCTGTTATCAATCTCTGCAACAGTCATCAATGCTCCTCATTGCCACGCCGGATAACGTGTTTCCCTACGCTAGACACGCCGCTTGGCTCTCAGACACCATCTATTTGTCACTTTACTTGAGCCTCATTCAATCGAGGGACAACCAGGGTTCTCATTCGTCGTAAGATTGCTGGAAACAACCAATCCGCTACCATGGTCGTGTCTGACGGATTCTAGTTCGCAGTAATATAAGCGAGCATGCGCTCGCAGCACCACTGCTTCGTCAACGTGCCAATACCCGGCCACATCCCTCACCAAACTGTCCTCGACTACATACAGACATACGAGCCCGTGTTACGCCACAACCCTGGCATGAGATCATGGGAAAAGTCAGATTTAGACTATGCACTCGTTGCCAATGATCGATTCTTCGACTCATCAGATCCAGGGCAAAGTCTATGTTGTTATCAGGCTTATGAGGTCATGCGACTCGGACCGGGGGTTCAGAGGGATTTAAAATGGCCGATTATCTTCCAGAGAGTGCCGAATGGAATTGTATCGAGGACAGATGCGCCTGCGGGTGTGATAAGCTGGACGCAGTGGTATGTCAGGCCTAGACCCAGTGAGGCAGCGGCGGATTCTGTTAGCACGCCTAGTACAGCTACACCGTCGAGTTCGGGGGATGACAACTGGGAGGTATATGGGATTGTGACAATTGAGGCGCATAGGATGTTGATGCCATGGGTCGCTACGAAATCAGAGAGCTATCAGGTTGCAATTGGGCAAGGGATGGTGGATGATGCATGTTCAAAGTTTATCTCTGGAGAGATTTCGTGACAATACGAGATACCAACTGCAACAAAACAAGTATCCCAGCACCTTGCTCCTGTCCAGTCCCCGTTTTACGTCTAGTTCCGGTCTCTCAGCTGACATAAGTTATCCGTCAACCTGAGCAGGCCTGAAATGATCACTACAGGACTCAGCAGCTCTTCGGCAAAGCTCTACGGCGAGTCGGCTTCTGAGCCAGCTCAATCTCAGCATTCCTTCGACGAAGCAAGCCCGGAAGCCGCTGGCCACTGGCATACACCCAGTGAGGAAGCTCTTGGGAGATGACAGTATTGGGATCTTCCCCGTTGTTCAGACGCCCAACAAGAGTAGAAGATTGAGCATTGCCGCAGCCCATGTTGAAAGCCCAACTTATGAGGGCACCATATTGGTTCCTGTTGAGCTTTGCTTTGCTGTTGAGCATGGCTGTGAGACAGACTTCAAAATCCTACAGAGGCAGGCATGATTAGTGATAAAGATCCCTTCTGCTAGCGACGAGAACAAACCTTCATGTCATCTACCAACAGCTTCTTTCCATTCGCGACAGAAAGCGGAATGGGATACTTGACTTCGCTGCACTGGGGTGCATCACATAGATGGCCATACCCCACTGTCGGATTTCCGGTAGGATCGTTGTCTGGAAACCATCAGCCTCAATCCAAGGAACAATTATCTGCGAGACTTTACTCACAAACATCGGACCTGAAGCCCTCGAAGCTGGCGATGAGATTGACAGTCGCCGCATTCGACTTGGGCGGTCTACACGAACGACACTTGGAGGTCACGTACCCGCTTGATCCTGTAGCGACATAGTAGTCGGACACATAGCACCCGAACGTCGTCTTGTCCCAGAGAGTGTTGCCTTCAATGTTGGTGCCCTCGGTCTGGTAGGTGATGGTCACATCAGTACCCTTGATAAACTGTTGCTGGATGGCATGGCTTGTCATTGGACCGCTACGGCATCTGACGCCTTCGTCTGTGATGAGAAAGGCGCTACTGGATGCGATTTCAAGAAATTGGGCAGCGAAGCTGTGAAGTCTCATAGTAGATTAGTGATTGCGACTGAATTAACTGACGAAAGAGTTGTTGGTCTGAGATTATAAACTCCTGTCTTATACTTTCAGACATCGCCGAAGTCATTAGACACGTCGTCGAGGGTCAATCATATGGTCAGCGGTTTCAACGCCCGATAGGGATCTGCGACTGTGCAACCGATGTGAACCGGCTAGTTTCTTCGGACCCTCCGGATTCGCAGAGCATTTCGGCCCTTCGGGAAGTACAGTCACGAATAGAGATCTTTATACTACCCCAAATATCTGTCCCGAAGTTTATTAGCTGCATTGGGAGCTCCATTCCGACGAGGCGTATGCAGTGAGCCTTGGCTTACCACGTGTAAAGTGCAGTGACTTGTATTTAGGACTCTAGAGGACACAGTCCGAAGACAAATTCAGAAGTCAGCCCTTCAGCTTGTGGAATCTTGGGGTGGGGAAGGTTGGTAAATTATACAACATGAGTCGCTGCGTTGCAAATTTGACCCCAAGGTCTGGGTGTATACAAGATGTGAAGAGATGGCTGTTGAAGAATAAATTGCATTCACTTGGACTATGAATAATACTATCTAGCTACGATGAACTGTCCCCAATCATCGACCTTTCGTGTTTAGTAAACATAACGGAAGTTGAGGTTCTTTCTGTCAGTGACATCGGAGATCTCAAGATGCTCTGTATCATCCTGAAGACCAGAGCTTGTCTGCTGGAGCTTATCGCGTCGCTTATTCTCGGCGATCAGCACGAATCGGAGAACGATCATAGTCACAGTCGAAATGCCGAAACAGATCGTCGTCGCCAAGAAACCGCTCTAGAGTCATGACATCAGCTTTCTTCCAGGATAGGCACTGTCATGACAGTGACTGGTTGACTTACCGAGTATTCAGGTGCCTCGCGGGCGAAAAATAGAAAAGGGCCGATGATGTTACCGGTGGTATATGCCATAAACATCATCGCGGCGGCAACACTCTTCTTGGTAAAGCCAGCGACGTTGGAAGCGACCATAGACAGGGAAATGGGGAAGCCAGCAGCGAACGCGACAAAGATCCACAGTCCAAAGAGTCGACTTCCTTGGTTGGGACCGTAGCGAACAAGAAGCGAGCCAGCCAAACTGTAACAGTTAGATGGCGAAGTCACACGAGGCCGGAGATGCTTACCTGATCAAGCTGAGGCATGCGCCGATAATGGTTCTGTAGCCGTTGAAACGACTGCAAAGGTATGTTGATCCCAGAGCAAAGAAAGCGAGGATGGCACCCATGGGCATGTTGAGGAGGTAGACCTGGAAACGGCTGAAGCCAAAACCGGCCATGACAAGACTACTGAACTACAAGCTGTCAGATAATTATTGTAGCCGTATACGGGTATCACTCACAGTGGTGTGTGCACCATTGGGGATGCTGAAGGCAACTTGGAAGACCATCAACAGCAGGACATTGGGGTCCTTGATGACCTCGCGGACTTGTTCCCACTTGAAGCTGTTGTTCTTCATGCCGGTTTGGTTACTTCGAATGCGATCGACGGCATCAATGCGCTGTTGTTGATCGAGGAAACGTGCGTTGTCGGGGGTGTCGGGAAGGAAGATAGCGAGCACGATGGCCCAGGCGAGAGTGATGAGACCGAAGATGATAAAGAGCCACTGTGTAAAGGAGTCAGCGGTTGTTACTCAGCACAGATGGTGGCACTTACTCTCCAAGACTCAAGGGCACCGCCAATGTGAGCGATACCGTACGCCAACAGCCCACCAAAGGAAGTAGCAATGGCATTACCCAAGAACCAAATGCCATGTCGGAAAGGCTGTTCCTCTCGCTTATACCACATTCCAGTGATGAGGGAGAAACCAGGCGAGATGGAAGCTTCTGCTACGCCGAGGAAGAAACGAGCGACGAGAAGACCGGGGAAGGTTTGGACTGCGGCGTGGCAGCAGAGGATGATGGCCCAAGCGAGACTGTAATATGTTAGTGGGAAAGTCGTGCAGGATTGTTGAGTGGTTACCTTGATCCAGCGAGATACTTGCCAAGGGGCAGACGGACCATTAGCCATGATGCTGGGTAGCTGAAGGCGAGGTAGCCGAAGTAGAAGGCGCTGCTGCACCAGCTATATCTTGATCCAACGAGGTCCTACTCTTGTTAGTGAACGCGGAGTACCTCTATATCGATGTATACTGACCAAATCGTCGATAATGCCCATGATGGAAGCAAAGTTGAGTGACTGCTTGTCAAGGAACTGCAGTGTGTATGACACAAGAAGAAGAGGCATCAAGCTGGACACCAACGTTAGCACTCTTCATCTCCAGCTGAAGGAAAACTTACCAAAGATCAATCCTTCTCAGGACCTTTTTCCCCCTATAGTGGTTTTCAACTCCCTCCTCTGCAACCTGCATCGACCCCTGAAGGCTCAATGTCTCACCCATCTTCGCATCAGGGTCCTGAGCCGGGAAGTTGGTCTTGTCTTCTCTATCAGAAGCCATAGTGTCAAAGAATATCTTGTAAGTGTTGAAACAAGAGAATAAAGAAGAGTTGATAATTGATTGAGTAGGGAGGGCTCGAAGCCAGTTAAGTAGATGTCCAAGGGAGCATCTAGACCAGTGGCTTTATCTCTTGATCTCAACCTGTCTCCACCCCCGCATAAACTCAAGATAAGTCTGGGGATACTATCTCAGCACTGACGTTCTGATCAAGGAGGGAGATACCATTCACGTCTGAAAAGTTGAAGTTATTTCACTACCCGTTGGAAAGAGCCGTACTGCTAGTTTCTCCAGCTCGGATATCGTTACATGCTAATTGGTTCAGTCGGCA